ATTTTGCAGACAGATCTACTACCCAAAACTCTTGGGAGCACCTCCCTCTATGGCAGGGGAGATGGAGAAGGGATGGAAAGAACAATCTTCATTCCTGGTGACCCAACTGGAGAGAAACTAGTGGGGTATCAGGGAAAAAATTGAGAATTAGAGATGTTCTCCCCTCCCTGCTGCAGGACATAGTGCAAGGACCACCCACTGCTGGAGGGGAAGGAGGCAGCCAGCATCCCTAACAAAGCAATTGTTTAAGAAAAATGGCTTTCTCTTCATGTGAAGACTTGAAAGACAGGATAATCTTAGAAAGAATTGGTGGAGAAACCCTCATCTCTGAAACCAGAACAGGACAATCAGGCTGGGTTTTTGTAAGCCTGGATTGGGACTAATTTGGTCAATTAAATTGAACACAAAAGCTGCAATAGAGATGATGGATTTGTGATAATGGACTTTTGTGGAGTGATGACATTAGTCCAGGTTTAAGAGGATTTCTCTGTGAATGCCACAGGCAATGAAACTTGGCTGTGACTTTTTTCCCAGGGCATTCTTACTAATGAGTTGGGAGTTCACACCTCTTTCCCATGAGCTTCCTGTGACAGATTCTCTGGGGTTCCAGCCTCTCACCTCTGCCTTCAGTGCACGAGCAGCTAGTGAAGAAGCTGTTGACTGCAACACCTCCTGACTCTGAATGATGCTAAGCCCCAGACTGATGTCTTTCCCAAACTGCCCATGCAATGGAATAATCCATCTGCTGTCAGCAGAGGCTGGGACATAGCTCAGAATTAATTGGCTGAAGCTCAAGCTAGATAAGCTCAAGATAATATTTATAGGTCAGGGGAAACAATTGGAAGGAACATCAAACATGGCAGTGGAGTCTCTCTGCTCCTTGTTTCAAAGCCCAGCTCTGTCTGCTTTTGAAGGACAGGCCTGGTGGAGAGCAGCTCCCAAAAACATTCACTTTGGGTGCCACTCGCCTCCAGCCCTGGCCAAGTTCAGACCCCTTGCTTAATCTGCTTTGTCCAAAGAGGTTTTGATTGCATGGATACTTGGAAAATATCTGTTCTTTGTGGAAATACTCACCCATGCATCCTAGGAAAGAGGATTGTGCATAAATGTCATTCCTGATGGTGATATTGGTGTCTGTCTACACTTCTATCTGTCTGCACAGATATATTACCATCTGCCTGTCCCTCTTGTGAAAAGAGCTGTGGATTGAGGGCTCACCACTACAGTTCATGAGCACAGAGAGCTGATATTTGCAGTGCAGAAGGGTGTTACTTTTAGCAGTACATTTCTTTTTCACAGGGTAACTTGTATGGATGTACATTGATGTTGATTGTTGAGTTTGCCCAACTTCCAGCAGACATCTAATGCATCTTTCCCTGGTGCCCTGAGCTGAAATGAGCCTGCATTTTGTGGTTTGATTAACCCTTTCTCTTTCCTCCCAAAGACATGGGTAGCAGAGCTGTTGATAGGACATTACTGTATTGCAATGCACGTGAAAACACTCTCTGCTACACTAGCACACTTCTTTGAGAAGCCCATTACCAGAGATCATCCTTTAGGGATTCTACATCCATCAAAAATAGCTCAGTTTGTGGATTATTCTTGTTTTGATGTTTAGGCATTGCAAAACAGAATTGTCTTTAGTAGTCCACAACTGTCAGACGCAGACTCTGCTGTTCCACTGGTCCAAATCAGTCACAAAGGTCTTTCACAAGGCAGGATATATATAAAAAAAAAATTCAGCAGCAATATGCTTATAACCCCTCTGGGTTCAAATCCTATTTAGAAATAGTGAATACTTGCAAATTTTGAGCTGGTTTTATGAATTATTCAAAACAGCAAATAGATTCAGAGTTGCATTTGTACAATGAGAAAACACAGATGAGAGATGGTTTCACATGTCCAATCAAAAATCGACCACTGCAGCTTGAATTTTGAATACTGATACCAAACCACTAATGAATAATTTGCAGATCAGGAATTTTTAAGTGAATAATTTTAAACAAATAAATTTGAGAAAATCAGACAAGTGGTTCATCTGCTTCTTTTGGAGCAGCTAATTCACCCATTCACTGCCTTCTGCAGCTCAGTTGCAGTGATTTGGTTCTCAAAGCACCAAAAAGAAAATGTAAATTGAAATAAAAAGTGTGCTGGAAAAATTATAGGATATTACCGCGCCAATTCAGAGTGGCAGGGTTAGCAACAGGGTAGGAGAAAATCATCTGTTAAACCTGCTAAAAATATAGCACCAGGTTCTCATAATCTGCACTGGGAAAATATTTTTAAGAAAAGAATAGTGCAGGGAGAAAAGATTTTTTTCACTGAGAACTTTAAGAACAAGTGATGGCCTAGAGTCAACCAATAACCAAAAAACCTCAAGGGTGGAGCAACTTTTTGGTTGGACTGGGAGCTTGCAAAATGAACATTTAAATGTGAGTGGAACATTTAAATGTGGGTTGAGAACATAAAACATTCTGGGTCACTAAGAAGGCTCTGGGGTTTATTTTCTGGGGACAAGGGGGGTCCCAGGGCTGGTGTCCCCCCTGTTTTATGCCATAGGATGTGTGACAGGGGACAGGGCAGCCCCTTTCCCAGGCCATCTGTGGCTGCTTCTCCAATCTGTCATAAACTCCACTATTAAAAGGCAAACATGACTAATTTACATTTGGACTTCGTATTCTTGTCTGGCTCCTGTTCTAAGAGGGGTTTGCACACGGAGGACAGAATTTAGCTTAGTTTGAGGTTTACTCTCTTTGGTGTTAATAAGATGTTATTCTACGGGTGTATAACTAATTCCAAACTGCAACACAGCTCCAAACTGCCTCAGTGAATTGATCCTGCACAGGGTTGCTCCCATCAGGAGCACCTCTACTTATGTGCCAATATTCATCCCTCATCCAGACATTCTAGTCTTCAGAAGCTCACTGAAACAGTAACTCGAACAACAAATTCCTGGAAGCCCATCCAGTACTTTAGGTGAGTCCTATTAATCCCATTTTGGAGATGAAGCAACAAGAAAAGAAAAGCTATGCCACCTAAATCACAGTTTTCAGAGCTGGGCTATAACTTAGGAACAGGTAGATTGCAATTTTGTGGTTAAATAATTAAACCAAACCTTACTTTTCTGCTGGAGCTAATCTGAGAAAAATTACTGCTTTCCCTTTAAAAGGTTTCTAAGCATATATGCAAAGAAGAATTTATGATCTACAATTTATGTAAAGAATTTCCTTTTCATAAATCAATTTATTAAAGCTCTGGAGAAACTTCCAAAGGCTCTGATCCAGCAGTGCACTTAAACATGACCATAACTTCAAACAAGCAAATTGTCCCATTGAAGTGCTCTCCTGGGCTGGGGCCAAAGAAAGTGCAGTTCTTCCCTGGAGTTAAGGTTCAGATGTAAAATGGGGAAAAATAATTTCTCTGAAGTTTAATAAATTACATAATCATGGCAAAGCTCTGCCAGCCTCCCACATTAATGCATCAAACTAATAAGAAATGGCCTCAGGGAGATTATTGTCTCCTCATTGATACACTGAGATGAAATGTGAGACTTCATCTGGAGGACGTGGTGCTGCTGACTTTTCCCAGGTTTGGCAGATCCCACATCAATTCAAAGTGAATCTTTGAAGGAGCCAAATCTGGTACTAGCAACACTCCTGGGTTCAGACTTTTAAGGATTATCCTTCAACCAGTAGAAGGAAGCGTGGTGGTATTTGAAGGATTTGGAGTATTTTGCAATGTTTTGTAGTAGTGAAGACACTTTGCCAAGAGGACTTTTCACACCTTCTCCTGGACTCCTGCACTGGTAAATATTTGGGAGCCAGAACTGAACATGCTGTTACACACTGCTGGCAGCCTGGCCGAGGAGCCCCGCCAAGGACAGCTCCTCTAATCTGCTGAAAACTGCGCCCAGGTCATGTGCAGAACAGGCTGAGGTAGCTGGACCTTCTGCTAGCTCGGAGTGTGGAATGTGGGGCTCCTTAAATGTCATTTAATGTGGCAAAAAATGGTGCAATGAATCCTTAAAATAAGCTCACCTCTCCACAGCAAAAAAAGATTCTTTAAGCAAGTAATAAACAGATGTGCTATAGTGAAGCCATGAAACGCAAGGTAGTTAATAAATGACACAGTTATGAAAGTTTCTTTTTAGTTGTACTGAGAGGGGGAATTGTGGGAATCCTTAAAATCATAGGGTTTTGGGAAAGCTGCAAAAGGCAGGCCTCAGAAACAGCTGAACTGCAATTAGAGCTATAAGTTATATGAGAAGTAGAAAGTAAGGACAAATAAAACAATAGTCTGTGTATAAATGCTTGACTAGAATAACACCTTAAACTACAGAAAAGTATACCTAGTGAGATATTGGGAAGTTCTAAGCTTAATAATGGAGCTCTGTGCATTGTATTTTAAGGCTTGCAAGCAGGTATTGTACTCAAAATAAGGAAGCATTGATTTAACTGAAGGTATGTGTGCTCATAGTGGTTGGATAGAACTACTGTCAATATGCTTTTTCTTTGTGTGGTTGGTCAAAAAGCATTTAAAGTAAGTTGTAACACTGAGTTTTTTGCTGCCTGGGATGTGAGCTGCTGGTATCTTCCCATTGTCATAACCATGCAATGAGGCTGATGCTGGAAAATAAACAGCTCGAGGCACGTTCCTCGGCAGTCCTGTCCTGTTTGTGATTTTGTACACAGATCCCTGGCGATAAATGAGATGTTAAATGCTGGAGGAAAGGGAGAATTCCTGGGGATGGGGAGGGGATGTGCCTCATATCAGCAGGGTGACACATCTACGTCACCACGGATGGCATTCCTGTTTGCTTTGGGTCCTGGAGATGCACAGTCACACATCCAAACCTCCTCTGAGCTCTGCCTGGGGTTGATGCTCACAATCAGAGTGACAGCTGTCATTTCACAGATGCAAAGCTGCCAAACTTAACGGCCCTTTCCCACCCACTGCGAAATCCAGCACGAGAAACCTTGTAGTTCCAAAGTGATACTCACATCTACAATGAGGAAGTCCAGCCAGCACCAGGCGTTGGTGAAATACTTCTTGAAGCCATAAGCCACCCACTTCAGGAGCATCTCCAGGACGAAGATGTAAGTGAATACCTTGTCAGCATATTCCAGCATGGTTTTTATGTTTTTTCGATCTTCAAGGTAAATATCTTCAAAGGCCTGGAAGTACAAAGGATTGGTTAATGACTGCTCCTGAGCCCTGTTAGAAAGCATGGGCATTGCACTGCAGGTCTGTATTTGATAAAATATCACGCACAGTCTGTGATTTCTGATGTATTTTAACATTACAATTAAAAAGAATGTTCAGCACAAACAGGACAGATCCTAACTTGAGAGATCTGTTCAGCTTTCCCCTACAAATGACACAGGCTTGGTTATCTCTCTGCAGCCTCTACTGGCTGTACTGGCTGGACAACCTCTCAGTGTAGGAAGAGCTTCTGCACCTTGAATTTGGAATGTGAAGCCCTGAGCAGAGTGCCATGCCAAAATGCCCAGATTTATCCTGCCTCATCTCCTGTTGGCTGTGCCAATGCTACCCAGTACCTCAGATGTCCCAGGGCACAGGATGTCTATATTTAGGAGGCAGAATATGACCCTTGCATTTAGCCAAATAGATCTTATTGCTAATGATGACAAATTGGGTTATTAACCTGCCTGTGTTATGGAGTACTGGAGTTCCCTGGCTTCTGTTCAGCCATCACATTTCAGGTGGCTACAGCTCTCTGCCTCAAAAAATGCTCATTATTATTCACTTAGCAGAACAATAATATTTTAAAGGTCAAGGTATCTATCTCCCCATCTCATCTGTCTCTCCAACTAATCTCATGCAGAGCATTATGAAAAGAGTTTCAGTATCTGTATCAAATACGAGCAACTGAATAACCCCTTTAAAATATTTAAGATCTAAGCCAATATGCCTCCCGAAAGAAAGAAAATAAAGATGTCTCATAGTTTAGCCTTCACTTTATAACACGAGTCAAATAAAAGGCAGGATCCTGGTGTCAGGTTTGCCAATATGCAGCCTGTTTTGGGGTTTCTAAGTCAAATTATGATCTGCTTCCCCAGCTACTTTTGCCACTGCTGTTACACAAGCTGCTCCCAAGTCCCTGTAACCTGGATAACCCAAGCTGTGACATATTACTCTCATCCCATCATGTGACCCAGAGCACTTGGCAGCAAGAAACATAATTTGAGAGGGTCTGTGCTAATCATCCGAATTATCTGCATTTACATATTTCCAGATCTGTAGCTACTTTCTGAGAAGCTTCAAAAAGTTAGCAAACACCCAGTGCCTGGAGATACAAGAAGTGTGGTACTTGTCACTCAGGCAGTCACACTGCTCTTTTGCCTGCCAGGGAACAGTAATTAAACTGACAAGAAAGCTTTGGCAGCCCGTGCCAAGGCTTGTCCATTTGTCCCCACACTTTGGGGTGACGTTTTCGCTGCAACCCTGTCTCCTATCTTGCCTTCAAAAATGATATTTCAAGGGTGTGAAAGAGCTGTTGGAGAAAGGCTGAAAACAATGCACAGATTGGAGTTTATCACTTCTCCTAGGGGCTCACTCACTTTGTCAGATGACTTGCTGTACTTTGCAATTACTGCAAAAATAACAACAAACCATTTAAAGTTATTTCCTCCTCTCCCTCCTTTGTTCTCCCTACTTTCTACTAACTTGTCCAAAAGTACATTGTGTTTTGTCTACTAAGAGCACACTGTCAGTCAGGAAGCAGCTTATTAAGGGATGAAGAATGTGCTACCTGGACACTTCTGTCCTTCTGGACAAGCTATGAATATTACCCAAATTACAAAATTCTGGTGCTTTGCATTTTTTCACGGTGACAACTGATGAAACCTCTGCCATATAAAATATCACGAAGGTTTTTTTTTTTTTTTTTTTTCTGCTTTGCTTTGTGTGTTAAAAAAGATTTAAGCAGGATACCTGCAGTGTTATCCAAAAATACTATTAAAAAGTAGGCTTCTAGCTTGGGTGCTTATGGCTTAAAATCTTAAGAAAGGTTTTTGGATCATCTACAGTAAGCTAAAGATATATTTTGATGGTTTAACCACATAAATATATATATATGCATTGGCTTAAAGGTATATATAGCTCTTGTCCCTTAAGAACTTAGGGTGTCCCAGAGATGCAGCCAGATGAGCTCAGTTTTTGGAAGAGCAACCCAGAACACCAGGAAAAAAAAAAATTTGTGTGTTGCCTCTAACATCTCCAGTCCAAATACTGAAGCACGGTGCTTATATGTGAGAAAATGCAAGATAATTTGCCCTTATACAGAACTGCATTGGCTAAATTGAAAGCTGCAAAAACTAAATTAATGCATGCAATTTAAATTAAATGAGCTTTATATTGCAGTCTTCAGTTATCTGAGGCACTTTTAATTACATATGTAAGGAAGTGTATTCATCTAAAGCATATTATAGCAACTGACATTCCCCCTCTAAAATGTATTCAAAAATTAACATTCTGATGCTCAAGCTGGTGCAAAAACTGTCAGAGTCCATTCATTTCAGCAAAGCTGTGACAATTTTCAGAAGCCTACTATTTACCCAAATTTTTCAGCCTCTTATATTTCATAATAAAATAAAACCCCCTGGGTGACATTTCAGCTCCTACCAGGTGGACCAGGAGAACAGTCCATTTCTTTCCTTTTTTGCATCAACATTTATGCATTTCTACATTCTTCTCTCCCTTCAGAGACTTTCTTTGAGCTACATAAACTCAGGATTTCTGTGTTTTGTCCTCTTTTTTTAGGCCACTGATAATTTGTGTTGTTCTTCTCTGGAGTTTCTTCAATTAGCCCACGTCTTTCCCAAAGTGCAGCGCCCAAAGCTGAAGCCTGTGCTCCAGCTGAGGCCTCCTTGATGCCAACTGGAGTGGAAGAACAGGATGATTTATGCAGCCCAGTGGGGTGGTGGGCTTTTGTGCAGGGCTGTGATGGAGTTTATTCTGTTTGTTGCCTGCTCCCCCTCCAGTTCTTTTTAGGAAATCTGCTCCCTTACAGCCATCCTTCATCATACCTCCCTATCGGGGTTATTCCAATGACTTTTCCAATTATTCCAGTGAGGGGAAGCAGGCACATTTCTAAGATGGTGTTTGCCTTACTGCTTAAGGCAGATCCACCCACTTGGCTGGAGCCAATCCTGACCTCTGGAAATGCATGGATAACCAGTCCAAACATGGCACTGCCTGCAAATTCAGTAAGTGAATGTCCTTCTCCATCACAAAGGAGATGAGCACCAAACTAAAGCCTGGAGAACTCTTGACACACATCTCTGTTCTAGGTCAGGATGAAAACCTGGGAGAAATCCCACCAAATCCAGGGACATTCCTGACATGCAAAAGAGAAATATAAATACATCCCTGTGAAGAGTCCAGGGCTGAAAATACATAGAGGATAATTCCAGAATGCAGTGGGATTTCAGGAGGAGAGGATCCCCTCTCAGAGTCCTGGGCAATGACCAAGCAGTGTCCATAGGCACATTCACCTGGACACAAACAGGACCTGTGCAGGGAAGGCACTGAGTGTTAACCTAAGGTATTTCAAAACAGGAATACAGGCACCCACTAGCTCCATGGGTAGCACTGTTTCAATGCCTTCTGTGTCTTTTATAATTTTAATTAGCTGGTTACAGAGTGTGGTTTAAAAAAAAGAGAAGAAAAGGAAAAACAAAGCCACCCCTGGAGCAAAATGCAAGCCTCCAGATGGGAACTCTCATGGAGAAGCAGCTATGGGATGTTGAAGCAGCAGTGCTGGCAAACTTCCTCACACAGACTTCCTCAAGGATTTTCTTTTCAAAACATGTGCAAGTCAGAATTTTAGTCACAGCAGAAGGAAGTTTCCCACCATATGGTAATAGCAGGTGAAACCAGAAGAGCTGACAACCTGTTTTAGCCCCAGACAAAAAAGCTTTGCTTTGAGAAACGACCACTAAGGGTTCATAAGATCTTAGAGACAGCTAAACTGGAGAACACTGGAGACTCACGTCCACTTTTAAACACTTAGGAAATGTTGTCACATTTACCAGGGCTCCACTGCTCAGCAGGATCATGAAGATGATGAATGTTTCAAACCAGTTGTGCTCCACGATTCTGTAGCAGGTCTTTCTCAGCCTCCACCAAATTTTGCCTGGAAATTTTGTGATGTCCACTGAACAGCACGGGAAGAATCGCACACAGACTGTAAGAAATAAAACAAAAACAAAGGATTTGTTAAAAAAAGCCTATTTAGTTCTTAAAGCTGCAATAAGAAGCTGCTCAGGAATATTTCTTTTAGCAATAGACTGCTGCACAGTGTCTTTCCTCCCTCTTGTTTCTCACAAAACCTCTCTGCTCTGCCTTCCATTTCCTTCTCTCACTCCTCTATTAAAAAACATTCAAAATCACTTAAAATGTGTCCCAGGGAGTTCTCCCAATGATTTTTGTGATACAGAATATATTGGCCATGAGTCACCAGTGCCCTAGGTCATTCAAAAAGTGTTAGCTGAGCTCAGGCAGCACTTCTGATCAGGACTAATAACTCTAGGAGGTTATTAGTGATAGCTTGCACAGCCTTTTGAATGGAGGAAGGTTATTTTCTTGCTAGTATAATACCACTGGAATTACTGATTAAAAGTGGCAATCTGATGAAAGAGAGATGATGAGAGGAGGTGCTACAGTGCAGATGGGACCAATGTGCTGAAGAGACTCAGGCAGCAAAAGCAGGAGCAGATTTTGATCTCTTGGACTCTCATTAGCTTAAATAAGGCATTAGAACAATCTCGGAATTATACTGAGGCAGTTAAATCCCCTTTGATGTCACAGAAATTTAGATATCTGCTCTATAGCAGGATCCCCAATGATGCTTCGTAGCACTTTCTGACTTCAGTGACAAATAATGTGAGATAGCTAAGTGCTGTGCTGGCAATGGGGCCCACATAAGGATTTCTGATAGGCAAGACCATGGCCATTTGTAGTTTCCTTAGCAACACTCATTTGTTGTAGCAAAAAGATATTGTCATTGGTAACAGACAGATCCATCTCTCCCACTTCAGAAACACCAAGTGCATTGCCTAGTGCTGGGCAAGAACTTCAAATAGTGTGAGAGGACCCTGGGAGCCAGGAATTGTCCTGACCAGTCAGTCTTACATCAGATAATCTGACTCAAATGTCACATTTGCTGATGAGAATGACCCTCAAAACCTGTTTTATTTTCAAAAAGCAAGCTACTTACCCTACATTTATTTCATGTGTTGTGTAGGAAGAGACTTGACTATGCAGGTTTATTGACTTCATCATAAGAAAAAAAAAGCCACAGGCCAACTGCTTCTATAGCTGGAAGGTGGCCAAGGTCACCAGATGTCTTGAGACACACAGCCAGTGGTCAGAAGTGACAGGGGAGGATGTCTCACCATGGTGATGCAATGCAGTGTTTTTGGGAGGAGAAATAATATTTGAGGGAGGCAGCTTGGGGAGGAAAGAGGGCGAGTGCCAAGGTTACAGAGAGAGCAGATGCTGCTAATTCAAGGTGGCACAACTGAGGCGCCTGAGCTGCCTGTGCTATGGGAGGAGATCAAGTGCAGCTCCTGGGATGTTGGGATTCCCAACAGCTGGAATGTGGTGGCACAGGGCTCTGCCAGGAGGAAGAGAGCTGCTAAGTCTGCTGTGGTGCTCCTGGCATTTTCTGTGAGTTTTTATTATCCCAGATCCCTCCTATGCAGCAGCAGAACTGTAGGATCCTTCATGGATCTCCCAGAACTTCTCCCCTTACATTTCTGAGATTTTGGTTGGGTGTGGGCTCTTGGCTGTGCTAAGTTTTGGTGTGGGACTAAAAGGACAATAAACCATTTATATAAAGATAATAATAGCATGCAATTACTTGTTCTCTAAATGCCTGCATCACACAGACCCACAGCATCTTCCAGTTTACCATTGTATTCTGGAACTCAGAGAAATTCTGGGCTCTGTTGAAATACACTGAATTGTTCAAGCTTTTTTAGAAAGGCATAATACTGGGAGAAGATGGAAAAGTAAGAACCAGCTCTCTGTCCCTTTGCAGGTCAGGTACCACTTCAGCAAAGGCAAGAATTATCCTTCTAAGCACTTCAATCCCAAACACTAAAGAATCAAGGCAAGCGATAAAAGGACATCATATTAGTCACTACTTTTTGCTAAAACCAGTACAATGCTCACAGCTGGCAGTGCATGTGGGTTTGGGTGTATTTTAGGAAGTAGGTACACAGAACAGACTTCACAAAGCAGATTCTCTGCTGAGAGAGGCCCATCAGGAGAATCCCACCAGCACAACATGACCAAGGGCACTATCAACTGCATCTCTCAGCAGTGCTGCCAGAAAATTCCTGCACTGCTTCTCACCCCACAGGTCATCACCACCTTTCAGGTGTCTGGCTCACACTCTGTGCTAATAATTCAGGGAGACTGCCCACCTCATTGTCACCCCAGCTTTGAATCAGGAAGATCAAAGGCTTGGGCTGAAATCCCTCACTTATCAAATGAAGGCCTAATGAGCAGGTTGTTCACTCTGTAAGTGAGGATTTTTTGTGTTAAGCAGAAATCCCCCTTTGTACTGGAAGTAGCCACTGCTTGCATCTATCTTTGCATCTGTCTCTTTCCCAAAACTAATTTCAAATTGGAAAAAAAAAATCAGCTTTTTTCCTTACTTAAAACATTTATACAGAAACATTTTGCTCTTTTCTTGTGTCTACCTAGATGGTTACTTGGCTTTTTTATCTCTTAGACAAATGCTTAGGCCCAGCCAGTAACAGGCATGCCATGCTCTGCCATGCTCCTACAGAGTATAAATGCTCTGTAAATACTGTTGGAAAAGGTTAGAATCTCCCAGAAAGTGGTTTTCCCCACTGTAAGCTAATTGGATGAATCATTCCCTGGAGGAGTTCCACTGCACAGGGAGCCTACATGATTACCTGAGCCCAGGCACAGCTAAAATTAGGGATCACCTTCATATTAGAAACTAATGAGCAGGGCACTGTGGGTTCCAAAGTCACTTCATTTGTGATGGGAAATACTTACAACTCAGTTAGACCAGGTTATTACTGATTCATTTGGCTTCCATCTGATGGTCTACAAGTACTGAGAGGTATTTTTGAAGACAGAAAGCCAGGTAGCCCCACTAATTTTTTTTTAATGCTCTTTGATTGCTTTCATGCAATTTCAGTCTGAAAAAAGAGTCCTAGTTACTGACAGTAATACCTTGAAAAATCCAAAATAGCTTATCAGATGAGTCAACCTAAAATCACAGTGCTATTAAATCCCATGCTTTTGATTGGACCTGATTCAGAAATGTTTAGACCAGATTCTGCTACAATTGCTAATGTCAAGCAGTACTTCTGTGCTGTCTGCAATTCAGATGAAATGCTGCTTTTAGCTATTCACAAAGAGAAAAGGGAAAGAAGAAAAAAAAAAAAAACACCCCCAAAACTTGAGCCCAAACAGGTCTTTTAATAAATTACTAGAAACCTGTTTCTATTTAAATTTTGTGATTTTCCTTCCTGACTGTGCTTTCATGCTTTCTGGACTCTTTCTTATGCTGGTAGCCTATTGCTCTGGTCATCTTGACCTAAGCTTACATGTTAAGTTAAAAACTACACTTAATCAAACAGAAAAAGTTTACTTGACCTTGGTCTGTAGTCTAACGCTTTGTTGGGTTTTTCCCTCCCATTTCTGTGAAATCAAAATATGAAAATAATTTTGATGTGTCTTAGGCATGACCTGGAGAGGGTCTGAGCAATCCTAACTCCAGCTGTTCCTGTAATAAGGCAGGTGGTCAGCAAAGCCCAGCTTTGGTGCATTTTTATCCCCACGAAGGAGAACATTCATTAACACCTTTTACCACAGCAGGCGTCAAGGCAGGAATAAAACCTCTGGCATTTCCTATTACTCATCCTCCCTGGTCTGACAGATTTGTGCTGTCCCACTGAAATCTGTGCTGGGAGGGAATAGGTTGTGCAGAAGACTCTGACCACCTTGTGATTTTGCCAGGGCCTAGTTTTGCCACTGTATTTCATGTTGGGCTGCATCATTTTTGACAGCAAACAAATTTTCACCATGGTCTTTTGGTTGGTAGATTGCTGCTCATCAGAACACAGAAGAGTGGAAGAAGTTCCCTCAGAGGTTTGAATTATTTACTGGTAAAAATGTGAAGCTGTTCTGAGCTGCATCTGGGGCCAAGTTGTCCAAGAACAATGTCTGTTTTCAATTGACATTTGGATATTTCATACCATTTCTCATAAAACAGAGGCCTATTTACCAAGAAACCTTTCCAAATGCATTAATATACCATGATATTATTTAGTTTTCGGTCATATTTCATAACAAGGGAAATAGTCCCTTCAGTCATTAGGGTGTCCTATAGCACAAACTGAAGATTAAAATATATCTTAAAAAAAAGGAGAAGGAATTCAATATAGAAGGCAATCTGTTTAAATATCCCTTTTGTTCCATATTCACATTTTCTAGCCTGGTGCACTCTAATCATGGAGCTCTTAGATTTGATTGCATTACCTTGGTGCATTGGGAAAAAAACCTCTTTGAAAATGTGGGAGTTATACTGCAAAACCTTCCTCCTCAATGCCTGACAGCCAAGACTACTGATTTTAGGCTTATGGGCAAAGAATTTACAAATCCACTTTTGTTCATGCCAATATATATATTTAAATTTTCATAAAATTATTATTTTTACTTTGGATGGATTGGGCTGCTGGTTCTCTCAATAAACCAGGAACACCAATTCATTTTTTCCATTCTGTTGTCCAGCAAGTGTGGTACCTTGTGTTCAAACCACAGCAATTTTGTGAATGCCTTTATGCAAGAGTTCTCAATTATTGGGACATTCATTTTTAGAACAAAATAGTATTTTTATTAGCTTTGAACACTGGTTACAGCATTGCTTGGTTTGATACAAAATACAGCTTCTTAAGCATGAACTCAAGCAGGCAGGTATTCATAACATGGGTTTTATATATATATATATATTTTTATGCCAAGCTGGATTTCTAATGACCAGTCTGGCAACTTGGGTATGCACAAATAAGAGATAAAACCCAACTGTGCCCCCTTTGAAAGACCCCAACTGCCTCCCTGTGCTGGAGGGAACATGTTCTCAGCAGACTCTTCCTATTTAACCCTTTCCTCATCTTCTGGCCCTGCTACTAACTCACTCAGGGGAGTTGGAATGGGATAACCTTTAAAGGTGCCTTGCAGCCTGAATCATTCCATGATTCTGTGATTGCATAGCTGCATTTTATAGTGTGAAAGAGAGATTTATGACCACTGTCTCCAGCATTTGGGTACCTGAGACACATCAGGAGATCTGAGATCTTGTGTGCTAGACCGGAGGTTGCTAAGAGGACATGTGACAAAACCACAGCCAGGTGTTTTTACCCTTCCAAGGGCTTGACAAATGTACATTTCTTGTTTATCTGCTGCTACTCTCCTCAAAGCACATCATCTAGGAGGTCACAACAAATAGGAGAGTAACGCCTTGGAGCAAAAGCAGTGGACAGCCTGGCCTACCACTGATGTCATTCATGCTTTGAGTGAGGGGCTGGATGAGTTTTAAATCTAGAGGTCCTGTCCAACCTGTATTAATTTATTTCTGAGCATGTAATAGCGATGTAAGAGTCTCATGATGCCTGAAAATTGTGTACAACATAATGCCAGCATGCTGTTCCTGGTGGAAAACACAGAGTATCTCAGGTATGACAGCCAGAGGGAAGCGATTCTTTAAAACTTGGGTTTGTTCTATGATTTTTCCTAGGATGCCAATGAGCACATTTTGTTGGGCTTGCCTTGGTTTTACACAGCCTTTAAAACTCATCTAGTGGCAGTCCCCGTAACTCTGTTTAGACTTATTCCATTTAACGGTCTATTTTTTTTTCTTCTCTTCCCTTTCTTGCTTCTAAACAGCCGCTCTCCGTGGTTGGGAAGGGCAGGACACACATCCCACCACTAATCACAGCAACTTCACTTGGGCATGTGGCATTTTCCAGCTGACATTTGGGCATTTTAGGAGCGATAATGGCTCCCACCATGGTCACATGGAAAGATGGTTCCGGGCGTCCTCGGTGTCACGAGTTGCGACCAACCACGCGTTGAGCGAGGTTGCTCATTCTCGCATGACCCTCTGGTGATATTCCCCTGAGACCTCTGCCAGCGGGCTGTGTCCGGGGAATTACGCCTGAGGACTTGGTGGAATCTTTCTCCTATTAGGGTCTGGGAGAGAGGAGAACGCTGTGGCCCGAGGGCTCTCTTTGGACAACCTTCTGCGAGACACAGAAGATAATGTCCAAATTGGGATTAAATTTTGCTGCAGAGAGCACATACCGATGGAGGTAACAGGACTGGAGTGTTGCAAGGCATCTGGAGGAAAAAGTACCCAAATAGCTGGCATTGGATAAATGTTCCTTTCCCATCAACTGGCAACCAGAAATGGTCTCTCCATTTCTATCAGGTTCTTCCCAGCAATACTTGCTAGCTGCCAGGGCTGTGACCCTACCTTGCCTTCACATTTCCTGACCCAAGAATGTTCCCTGTTGACCCTAATCAAAGCTATTTTGAGATGATAACACATTAACAAGGCTCCCCAAGAAAAACGACCTATGGCTTATCTGGGTCACCCAACTCCCGGAAAACTGTGACCTCAGCAAACTTTCAGCAACTATTTCAAGAACATGCATTATCTTTGTTGCCTTTGTTATCTGAAAAAAAGGGGCCTGAATCTGGAACATATTTGTTCAGGACATAACCTATGCTGGATGTGTTGAGAAATGTCATAGTTTGAATTTAGATACCTAAAGAAGTTAAGAAATTAACCCTTCCCCTCTCCCTCCTCTTTTTCACATAATCTCCTTCTTTCATAAATATTAACTCTCAAGCTCCCAAATATGCCAAGTATTGTTGTACCTCTTTATAAAATGTCAGTAAAGGCAGGACTAGATAAATCTGCCCAGTGCATGCCCTTCAATATTTTCATTTTAGTAGTTTAAAGTCTTGTCATCTCAGCTAATTAGACTGCTGTTTGTTGGCTGACTTGGTTTTAAACTAGACTGAAGTGACAGCTGCATGAGGTTTAATTGCAATAGTAAATTTGGGCAAAAATATTGGAAATATTTATTAGAAGTTGATTACAGGAAAACACTTTGTTTCCCTGCATAAATTAAACCTAATGGTAATGTCGTTGCTGTAAGAATCATTTGGACTTTCAGTTTATGGCAATTTGACTTGAAATTTTATGAGCGAATAATCACGTTGTGTTTGTGCATTTTTCTGCCAAATCCGTGAGCAGTGTGATCACATTTAGCCAAAACAGTAAAGGCTGAAAAATGTGCATGGATAATATGTGCTACACAGGAAAGCAGAGTAGATGTGTTGAGGAGGATGTCACCTGAACCTGCAGGTGTCCCTGGACACCATGCACTGGGCTGAGGACTGGGAACAGGCTCTCCTTCAATTCCCATTTAGAGCCAAGGCTCAGCTGGCTGCATCCTGGGAGAAGAGAAAAACACCTTGACTTGCACATGCACTGGTGAGGAACCAAGGGAGATAAGGAATAAAAACAAAATGCAGGACCAGGGGTGCTCAGGAGGAAGAGCGCAGGAGCCAGAATCTGGGTGGAAATAACCCAAGGCAAGCTTGGGGTTCAGCCCACAGTGCCTCCCTTTCTGCATTTCTCTGCTGCCAGGATAATCAGCAGGCTTCAAAGCTGGTTAAATACTTCCAGTGATCCATCTGGAAGAGCCCTGCTTGCTACCCTGCATCCCACAGACAGCACTGAGGAAGATCTGACAAACTGGGTTGGTTCCATTGTGGTCCTGCACCGTGGAATTTCAAGTAGGTCTGGTTATTTTAAGAGAGATCAAATTACAGAGTGCTACTGCTCTGGGAACATGTTGTGTGGTGTCTGCCTCATTTCTTTTAAAAAACTGGATGGTGGTTCTGGCCAACCGCAGTTTCAGAATTTCTCAGCTGGCATCTGAACAGCACTGATCGCACAGCACTGGCTTGTTTAAGCATCTATAACATAATCACTTTGCAGGGCACAACAGAGATTGCTGCTCACTAGCCCCATTAAGAAATAGATTGTGAAAGAATGAAAACACCAGATCTAATTTCAAAATGTTATTGCACAGGCCTGAATAGTTACACCATGCTTTCTTCCGTCAACTGCATTAATTTTTGGCTACTGCTTTTAAGCAGAGCTGCCAAAAAAATGTTTAGATCCTAGGGACATTTGTAAGCCCTGCAGGGCTCCCTTACCTCATTCAATCATCTTTCTCACAGATATAGAGATGCACATTTTTGCTGACTTCAGGGGCATTCATATACCCAGCAAATCATCTCTGTCTGATCCCATCTGAGCTGCTCTGTTTTTGTTTATAATAATGCTTGAATTTTCAAGGGACTATTCAGCTAACCCTGTTTTTCCCAACCCAGATTTATAGGAAAACAAAAAATTTGACTGAGATAATATTTGGAATAGAACTCACTCTGAGAAGAAATAACTTAGGATGCTATTTACATTATATATTTATTTTAACAAAGATCTTCTGATGTAGCTGGGTTTTACATCTGTGTTTTGGAGCAGGCTGGTGTTAAAATGTTAATAAAATGATGGTGAATTTCAGTATTAAAAGAGATATGTAAATGTGGTCAGTTGTTATCTAAGATAATAATGTTAAATGGCCTTTACATAGCAGTTCTCTAACTTGAGATAAAAGTCACTGGATGTGCTAATCTTGACACCCTTTGAAATAAATGGAAGAGAGTCCCTGAGTCTCATGAACTCTCCAGACAGATTCTATGAACTCCCTGGATACATTTAAGCAATGGAAACATCCTGATCTGGTAATCTCTTTACCAAATTTGATCATGCACATATATTGGAAGTCAGAAATCTTTACTGGCCAAATGACAAAAATCAGCATTTAAAAACCAAATAAATAAACAAATAAAACACTCTTCAAATTATAATTTCAAAAGCCTAAGGCTTTAGAAGTTGTGGAGCATTTTAGAACCTTGGAAATCCAAAGACTAATGGTAACAAGGGATTTTGAGTGTGTGTTTGCAGCATTATAGTGCCTAAGAAACAAAGTGCATCCAGTGAAATACTAGTGCAAGCAACCAGAGCAACACAGTGAGAAGGTCAGGAGATGTTCAATAAGAGAAAAGAAGGTTTCTTGCCCCAGCATTGCAGCAAAACATGCAAGTTCTTACCTTCAGGGAAGCAATCTTCAGGCTCCATCAGCTCCTCAGCAAATTCGGGGATCTGCTCCAGCAGTTCTGCAGGATTTGTCAAATCCACCGTGCTGCCTTCAGAAAGACTGATTTCATCAAGCTTGTTGCCAACAAGAGCAAAGATGTGGAAAACAAATTGATCAGTTGCCCCGAAGGAAGTAGCAGAGTTGTCATTGCACTAATCAGCACCCCAGCTGAAGCCACCACAACAGAGACATTGCCATGCACTTCCCAAGGTGCCACTCCCTGGTGACAGCTCTGCCTACCCTGAGACCAGGGGCTGACCCATCAACAACAACAACTTAACATATACAAATTACTTTTTGAGACAAAAGAGAAGCAAACCACAGAAAGGGAGTGAACAGCCATTGAATATTAATTACAGAATCTTAGAATGGTTTGGGTTGGAAGGGATCTTCAAGATAATCCAGTTCCATCCCCTCTGCCATGGGCTGGGACACCTTCCACTAGACCAGGTTGCTCTGATTAATGGTAGGTGGAACCTTGGAGTGATGGACTTCATTAGTTTGACATCCTGAAGGCTCATACTTTGGGTGGGGTACCAGAAGTGGGACCTGTCTCCTGAAATGTTGAAGGATGAATTGGATGACCTGACTTGGGTTCCTGTGTTTTGGGCCTCATTCCTGAGGTTCCTCACCCACAGCTGATGGATGAAATCTGCACCTGCTGACAGCCTCTCCTCCAGCGTCCAGCCACAGGAAGCTCAAGTACAAATATCTTGAGAGGGCTCTTCTTCCTGTCTCACCCCTCATCTAACAACTTCTCAGCATATGACATGGCCCCTTGTCTTTCTGTCACACCATTGTGATCTCCAGGTGATGTAGGAGGAAGGGCACATGGCTTTTAGAAATGTCTCAAGGGCTCTACCACTCGCCTGAAATATTTGACACCATCATCTTAGGTGCACTGTTTAAATTCAGCGTTTGTCAGATCCTCCTCTGCAAAATGGGGCAAGAATATTCCTGCTCCCTGAAGCATTGGTTGTCTCATCTATTTAGAGCAGGAGCTCTCAAGCAGACCTGGATAAAAACAATTCTGGGGAATATACTATTTTCAAAATCTGTTTTGAAGGCTGAACTCATGATTAAAAGACATATTATACACTATTCAGTAAGTCACCCAAATATGAAATAGAAATTTCATTTCAGGTTAACTTTCCTTTAACAGAATCAAGACACTTTCTTTAGAAGAAAAGAGGAAATGTCTCCCCCCTATTTTGTTTTGCTAGCTAAAATAAAGAGTTTCTATTTTGTGTTAATCCACAGTTAAATTTTACTTAATTTACTTTTAAATTTTACAAGCTAAATCGCTTGGCCACTAGAGTGAAAGACCTGATATTTGCACCAGATAATGCTCTAATACATCCAGTTTGTTTCTGGATGTTTTAGAGCATTATCTGGTGTAAGTGGGCAATACCAAAGCTGGTATCTTCCATGGGTCATGGCAATGACAAATAGCTCCAAGCAGGAGAGTGTGTCATTTGTGAACTGGCTTACTCTCTTCTCTGAGTTCCCACTTAAAAGATTTTGTGCTTTATCTTGCAATACTATTGCCTTCATTTTAAAAAATGAGGGCAATAATACTTACCCAAGCTTTTAAACAGCCTGTGAGATAGTTATATGAGAGATGGCACGTACAGATAAAGTATTATTTTCATAAGCATGATGGTGATGGAGTAAGAGACTAGGCACAGCTTTATATATTTATTATTAATGTGAAAATGGGTCCTCTGTTTTCCAGCATACACAGTCAATGCAAAATTTATAGCTGAATTCAGAGAAATGCTGAACCTGGGGTAAAGTGGGCAAGACTGAACCTTGCAAGAGGGGGTGGAAGCTACTTTTTTGCAATTAGCAGCAGCATCCAGAAGGTCATAGTCTTGGTTAGGGTTTTTAATGCTGTACGCAAAAGATCTGCAAACAATTGAGAAGAGACCTTTTAAAAAGAGAGAACAGAAAGAACAGAACAGGTCCAAGATATGGATAAAGCTTCTGAAAAGCCATATTCAGAATGCAGCTGTCGTATAGAGCCCATTTCCTACAGACTCACAACAGTGTATGACGGTGGAAAAAATGTCATCCCAAGTTCTAGCACAGTCAGAACTTCATGGAACTGTTCATCAGGGAATGCATTTAGTCATTACATGTTCTGTTATGAAGATGTCAAAACAGAGATCACTGAAATAGTCCTAAATCATATGCAGCTGTAGGATGCAGAAAATAGGGGTTTCAATGAGAAGAGAAGCTTTGTTGGGTATAATTCTTACTAATAGCCAGAAATCAAATAAAACTCTGAGAGCAATGTCATCTTGATAACATTTTCAACTAGAGAGCTGGATTTAGCAGAGACAGGTTAGAAAATTCACAGAACAAAATATAATTAAATTATCATAGACTCTTTAGTTATTTATCAGGAGGAGTTTCCAGGAAATATTAGAATCCATCAGTGTCAAAGGGAGGTGGGGAACATGCAAGGCAAACAGACAGGTTGTGTTTTTGAAAAGCCTTCAAAGAAGAGGAGACAATGAACATGGATTCAGAAAACAGTAGATTAAGGTTTGAGGGTCTAAACAGGGAATAGAAAAAGGAGCCAGACATATGAAAGAGAAGGAAAAGATTAGGGATGATTCTGGGAAGGAAGCAAAGGTTACTCTTTGCCAGAAAGGTTAAAAGTGATTAAGAAGGTTTTCATGAACTTAGGGAAGAGTCAGGGACACAAGAGCAATTGATGAGGGGAAGGTAGCTAATCAAAATTCAGTTGTCTAAGAAAATAAACATGTCTTAAAATCATCCAACAAGGAGATCAATAAGAAGAAGGGGGAGAGCCTGTTAGAATTAATATAAATGTAAGCAGAGAAATAGCCAGAAAGCCTGTATATACATATACAACCCAGCAGATCCAGGCAAGGCACGCTGCAGAGCATAAAGGGATCCAATACACCCAGTTAACACATCATTAGCAATCGATAGTGAATGCTCATGGAAAACTGGAAACGGCCCAGGAGAGCACCAATAAGTAAACACAACACTGAGCTGAGAGAGGCTGAAAAGGGAATAATCATGGGAATCACAGATCACTATACACTTGCTGCAGCCTGTGAATTAAATAAAGACAGAGAGGAGAAAAGGAGAGAGCTTACTCGGAGTGAAATGTCATAGACATAAAGGCAGTGAGGTGGTTCTCCTGTGTGCCAAGAGAACTCTGCACAAACAGGGTGAAAAGAGCTCAAAAAGAAGGCAAAAAGGACAAATACAGACTCTCCTTCTTTCTTGGGATAGGTGAGTGGAGGAAGTGGGCAAGGCAGAGGAAAGGGATCTGTCAGAGACTTCTTTGGAAGGTCTTCCCCTGGCACATAAATTCGTGCTGCAGAAGGCAATTTTTAAAGTGTTTGTTGATGGAGTGACTGTTTTAAGTACCCAGACAGGGCTCCCACACACCCTGCTTGTGCCTGTAAAAGCAGCAAATTGATCTGAAAGTGTTTTTCAAAAAGCCTTTAGCAGTGAGACGCTGAAATCTCATTGAAAGTTGATGTTTGCTGAAGGCTTAGCCCTCTTACCTCGCTTCTTCTCTGCCTCACCTCTGAAAATCAGAGCCTTAATCTATCAAATTGACATATGATATATAAACCTTAGGAAAACAGTTGGATGTCTGTTATAGAAAAGCCTACTTTTAAAATAAATTGTAATTGGCTCAGGTTCACCCATTGCTGTCTGGAGAAAAGCCATTCTAAGGACCCAAATATAGCACAAACTTTCCCCTCAGAGGAGGAAATCTGTGGGGATTAGGGTCAGCATTATCTTCACTAAAGATACAGAAGGGGTCTTGACAGATATAATCCTCATGTTAGCTGATAATATTAAATTGGAGAGAGTATTGAAATCGAGGAAGCAGAAGGGAAAAGAGAAGGGAAACATGGAGAGAATATAGGAAAATGGGACATGATTTAAAAAAGTACAAATGGGCAAGTTACAGGAAAATTTCAATGGACATTTTGGAAACCTGGAATAATATTAAAAAAAAATAGATGTGATTTTGCAGTGGGGTATAACGATGTAGAAAACCATATGAAAGCATCATGTCTAGATACTGAGATATTATTCCTTCTTTTACAGTTCTGTAGAAATTGTATTTGGAATGCCGTGCTTCCTTCTTGGAAGGAAAAAACCCGAAAAGGAACAGTTGAGGGAGTTGCAAAGAAAGAGGTAAAAAAAGATCAGATAAATGGCTCAGAGATATTAATTAACAATAAATAATGAAACAACAGTGGTGCATGACTTCAGGGGGTAAACCCCAGACAATAGGAAGAAAGCAAGTCTATTAAAGTAAATTATATTAATTCGTACAAAGAGACTGATGGATAAAACTGGTAAAAGACTGTAATGAAATGGCACTTTGAAAGGGAAAAAAAAAAAAAAAAGGTGAGAAAAGGCTGGTATTTAAGGAAATATACCCAGGCATGAGATATTTCTTTTTAGCAAGTGAATTATTCCTTTTGGTAAGTGAAGAAATCTAAGTCGTCAGATCCATTTAAAGCCAGATTCCACAAAGTTGTGTGAATATTTTATGGGTCAGCATTTTGGCAGAGAAAGCAGCCAGTTTGTACTCCAAAGTCTTCTCCACCCGTGACACCAATGATTTTATTTCTACGGTGCCTTTCTGATGATGGATATAGAATGAATTTTGAATCATATAATGTACCCTTTACTGACACCAACAGTGTTTCACTAGGAACACATCCAGTGTTTCCTGTCACTGACAATCCCTGAAAGCCCTGCCTCTTGGGCATACCAAATCTGTTACTCCCTTGCAGTTGTTGGCTTTATTTGGCCAGTTGCAACTTCTTGGGACATTCATCAAAACTACGACGAGCGTGTCCTTGCGTGCTGGCACAAAGATTGCTTCTGCACAGGGGGACCGTGGGTATGTAATGTCCACACGAGATCTTCCAAAATAGCATCCTTTGGGCTTTGCTCTTTTGTGTTGGCATTCATAGCCTCGCGTGAACTTCCGCTCGATTTCAAGTCATCCCTGGATTATTGCCATGTTCCTCCACCTCTTTCTAAGCAGCTGCAAATAGAATCAATTATACCCTGCTATAGAGAGGTGGCACTTGTGTCTCAGGACCCTTTGAAAGCTGAGGGGAGGAAATGGGGATTATTTCTTTATCACGATGTTGCTGAATATATCGAGGCTAGAATGTTCCTGACTTATCATGACATTTTGTTATAGCACTAAAGAAGGACATCGTTTTCTGGCTTCACTGTTAGGATCACAGGGTCCATTTGTCTTGAAAAGATATTTAAACATGAAGGATACCTAATCCTCTGAGAGAAAAATGCCTGACATGGTCTTCTAATTCCTCCTAGTTATGCTTCTTTACATTGTTTGAAAGTTTTGTATTTCTTTGCTACATATATATACTTTTTTTCTCCCTGAGACCATGATACGAAATATTTAAGCCTCTTTCCTCTAAATTCAGGTTGTTTTCTTTCTGAATATGAATATGCCAAGAAGTACTCTGGCAAGGATTGCCCTTTAAAGAAAGGCTTCATGGCTGGAGGATTTCTGGTTCCTGGGAGTGGAATTTATCTCACCTAAGTGTGCAACCTAAGTGCTCCCTTTATAGTTAATGGAGAGAAATGGGCTCTTTTATGAGATCTGACCTAATGTAAATGCTGATTTCAGCTGGAGACACATTTACCTGCCTACATTGTCTAAACAGAGGCCTCAGATGACAAGTCCAGATGCAGATTGTCTACATTTAGTGCAGTAAGTTCCACCCATATGACAACATGAATCAGCAGGCTTGGAGAAGGGGAGCCCTGGTTCTGGTGTGGGTCTGTTTCCTCTTGTCCTGTCAACATTTCTTCAAGGGCTTGCTCCTGCTGGACACAAACTTGCCAGCAATTTTACAGCAGAACTGGGAAAGGTGTGATGTGTGTGAGTATTGTGCCATCCTTTCCTTTTCATCAGTTTTTGTCCCACACAACAATCCCTGGTTTCAATCTCAAGAAGCTGTGGAACTCTCCAAACTCCCAGGACATTCTAAACCTCCATTTCCTCATTTCAAAGAGAGGAATCCATCACTCTCTAGTAATAAAAGCAATGCTATGTCAATAAAATTCTAAATCTGAAGGGGAAGAACCCCTTACAAGTCAGCAAGGAGAATACAGGCAATTACACAGCCTGGAGTCACTCAGTGTACAGTACAAACACGTTATTTTTGATATTTATGTTTATAAGGACAACATCATCCTACAACTTGAAAATAAATGTCAATGTGTACACATCAAGAAACAATTAATGAGCTGCACTTTGGCCAAATCAACTAAATAATACCAAAGCTTGCTCTTTAGTTAGTACCTTCACATCAGCTACTTAAACTGTTGCACCTTTCTTGGGTGTGTGTTAACAGGAAAAAAAATCTTAATCTGTGACAGAGAGCAGATGCCCTCCAGTGAACTCAACATTCAGGTCTGCCAAGTCAGCAGATGCCTTTCCTAGAGCTGCTTTTCAGTGGGAAATCACACACATATTTTCTCCTAAAATGAGACAGTAGCATTATGGACGATTTTGTGGTTGTTTGGGCTTTTTTTCCCAAAAGCCTCTTACAATTCCATCTTCATTTATAATGCACGTTTTCCAAGCTTTCCAATTATTTTTATAACAACAAAATCCTCTCTCTTCTTTATTAAGACTGTAATACCTATTACACACTATTGCTTTCCTACCCCATGATAAACATGTATCTTTACAAGCCACAAACCCCACATAAACCAGTGGCATGCACTATGGAGCTGGTGCAATGAATTTCATGCAGTATCAGGTAGGAAAGTTGTTTGTGTTACCTCTTTTTTCCCTACTGGAGGTGGTGGCTCAGCCTTCAACTGCTTATCCACGTGCAACTCACTTAACTCTTCATAAATCTCAGAGTTCTGACTCCGGACTCCTGGGCTTTGGCATCGCTGCCCCCTCAGCTGCAGCTGCTTTTCCTGCTGGAAATAATCCTAGATGGGTTTATTTTCTTTTTCTTTGATAGCATGCTTATTTCTTAAGGAGAACTCTCCAGCTAGAAGAGAAAACAGCCTGGACTATTCTCGTCAGGGCATGACATCTTAAAGAGAATGGCAAGAAATGAGATAACACAAGTTTATGTTGCAAGTTTTGAGCTTTAGCAACTTGGTTATGCCAAGGTATATGATTGTAGAAAATGGACATACAAATAGACCAACTTTTTTTCTGAGCTTTTGTTGCTGAGGTGGGAGGAAATTCCCTTGCCATCTTCATTTTGAGCCTGATTTGAGACACAAACTTCCTCCAATGATCTGAGGTGCAGAGAGAGGTGTCTGCCAAATAACCAAGGAGTGTACTCTGAAAACTCAGAATCAGGTGGTGGTACTCAATATAAAAGCTGGAGAAAGGCACAAGGGCAAAACCCAATATTGTTCTATGAGTCTGCTTGAAATTGTGTGAAAAATCCCCACACCCAGAGAAGAAAAGATACACATCGAAGGGGAAGAAAATGCAAAGTTCACTGGAAAAGATAAAAGATATCTGAAAATAGATACGGGAAAACTGCAGGTAAACACGCAAATGTACGAGGCTCCTATTCAGCAAAACACTTGAGGCTACTTTGCACCCACTGAAGCACAGGGGGTTCAACCAAAGGCTGAAAGGAGAGCCCACTCTGAAGCACTTCCCTGAAAGGGGATGGATTCTGGAAGCACAGCAATAATTTTTTCTCTCAGTAAACACATTTGACTGGACCCTGTGCTTGCAAGTATGCGTGGTGCCATTAAATCCAGCCGCTTCTTCCCAGAGTGGTGATTATTGCTGCCGAGCTCTGAAGAAGTTCTCCCAGGACTAATGGCAGAGGAAAGGATGTTTGCAGGGTGAGTCCCTCCCTCTGGAGGCCCAGGTTCTCTGTTTGTGTGGCTTTATTGATCCATCTAAGGCAGGGACTTCACTGAAAACTCCACAGCTCATCACAGCACTACCACTGTTCATGCCATTACTAACACAGCTACTAAAATATTAATAAAACTCCAGCAGGATTCAAAGGGTTGTGCTGAATTGTTTACAGAGGGACTTCCATGCTGAGAAAAAAATTACAAGCATAACTAGATTTCAATAGTAATTATTTAAACCTATTTATCTTTCATTTGTCCAGCTTTTTTTTTTTCCCTTTCCCTCGGCTTGACTGACATTCAGTGTTATTCAGGTATTAAGCAAATTTCCCTTCCCCAGGGAGTCCCAGACTACCTGCCTCAGTTTTAAAGCCCCATCACTGCAGGAAGTCCCTCAAGAGGTACCCAGAGCAGAAAAACACTTTATTCCAAATGTAACCATCTGAAAGACCAAATGACACAAAGGAAGCAGTCGGTTAACAAATTGCTCTCTGTATAAATATGTTTGGACTCTCAGGTTTGTACCAGTATTTTCAAACGTTGTTGTGTGTTTCTGGAAAATTAATTTAAAATCAAATTACTTGTTTCCTGCTTTGGAGGGCATGTGGTCTAAAATATATTCTAACTGTAATAAATCAAATTATGCATGTCCAAACCTATACCCTCTGCACAGGAAGGTACTACATACAATTTCTAGCCACACATTAGCACTGATCTTCATAGACCAATAACCACAGGGTCACAGGTATGTCTCTGACAAAAAGTAACACTTTTTAAGACATTTCAACGGTCTTTATCTTTGGAAATAGTTTAATATTCAGGAGAGAAGCCAATGTGGAAGGCACAGTACACACAACTAAGGCACTCAGCCATAAAATGTTCTTTTTTTTTTTTAATGCAATGTGCATTCAACTTAGTACCAAGTAATCTTAATGGCATGATATTGGTTATAGCACTGGAACAGCAGAAACAATCGTTTCATGTTGAAAGTGCAACACAATCTGAGGTGACGTCTCAAGTTCATTTATTCAGAAAGGTTGTGCACTCAGATTCACTAGAAACCGTGCACTGTAACTCAGCTGATCTGATAATATTCTAATTGTTTAGCAAATTATTGTGTTAAGCTAGAGTCAAATGCCAAACTTACACTAATTCTCTATTTACTAATCCCTCTGTGTGGTACCAGGACTTAGCAACACTTTCATAAAGACTCAACTCCAGGAAATGTGATCCTGGCTTCTTCCCAGAAACCACACTTGTACCATGGATCCAGTGAGTTAACGTTAATTAAAACTGATTAATATATCCTGGCAAAATATTCAACGGGGCATCACGCATATGTGCTCAGACAACGATTTGGTTCATCAGTGTGTTTTTTCAAACTTGTCCTCTAAATTTATAAGCTGGGAGGAAATGAGTAAGAGAAATAGACTGTTCTAAAGAATCTGGTAGTGTAGACTGATCCCAAAAGGAGTGTTAGGGATTCAGCAAGCATCTAATGACAGTCCTGGTGAAGGATTCTCCTGGGATGTGACATTCTCATTTCCAGCACACAGCACCTGAAAACCAGCAGAGACCTGTCTGGGGAAAGGTGCCTTTGGTTTATGTTGTTTAACTTTGGGTTGTTTGCTTTTGTCCTTATTCCAGATGATTTGTTCTTCTGGCGGCAACGGCAGCAGGTCTATCTCCTGTACAGCTTCCCACCGTGGGTGGTTTACATAATTTATGTTTAATTTTTGTATCAAGTGCCACGTTGCCAAGGCAATACACATTATGTTAATATTTATCAATTCTGTCACTTTCTTCATTTGTAAAGTAAAAACATTGAATGGTATTAAAACTTTGTGCATGCAAAGGGAGGGTTGGGAGCCCAGGACTGACCTAAGGATAAACCAAAAGTTTGCTCACCTCTGCTCTGACGTGGGCCCTAAAAAGAGGTGATCTGCCAACACCATACCAGTGATTAGCACATGGAGGGGGGTGGACAGGGCTGTCCTCTCTCACGCTGCAGCACCAGGAAAACAGCTACCAGATTGGAAACAGGGCATAATCTGGGTGACATCTCAAGAGTGCTGGTGCACGGACCCACATAGCTGTTTGCTGACACCAATAAATGCAAAGGCTCCACACTGCGTTGTGTCTCTGAAAAGCAGAGATCAGCTAATTGTTCCAGGCTCAAACAGGGATTAGTGCAAATGCTGCTCCTCTGGAAAGAGGACTTGCTGCTGGCAAAACAAGGCAAATACCTGTCATCAGCATGGATTCACTTTATTCCTTCCCCATGGAAATATCATTTTTTCCATTCTGTGCAAACAAATTTAGAAAGAGGATCCCAGGACTTGCCTTTCGGATGGTGATCAGTTCAAATGGGTTCTCCTGATGCTTCTCTCACTCCCTAGATCATGACCCTGTCTTGTGGCATTTGTTCCCAATTCCCTGGCTGTGGTTGTAGTGAGAAAGATGTGCAAATCCTTTGATAGCAGGAAGCTTCCTGTCCCAAGCAGGTGGGGAGGAAAGAGATGAGAATTGGCTCTGGGGTCCTCCTTCCTTGCCATTGTTATTGCAAAGCCAGTGAGCAAAAATTATGTGGATAGATTAAGTTAATTATTTTACTATTTTATGAGAAGGATAAGGGATTTCCCTTTGTCTGGTGAGACAGTGCAAATGCAAACTGCCTTTTACTCAGTCCCAATGCATTGGGAAGCTCTGATGCCATGTATCCACTTCCCACCACACTCATGCATCCAGCTGCCTCTTTGAAGGCCACTTCTGAGACACTAATGGAAAATTTAGAGATGTTTGAGTTGTGCAATCACATCCCAGGTGTGAGCTGGCCAGGACATTTCCAGGCACAGACTCAGGAGTGGAGGCTTGTCCTGGTCCCCACATACATGCCTGCACACACTGGGCCATGCCAGGGGAATCCTCCTTTACCTTGGGATGTTGCCCATCAGAGGAGCAGCAGGAGCATGACAACAGAAGAATCTCTGCTTCAGCCATTCATTAATGAGTGATGCTATGACATTGACTCTCCTCAAGAAATCCAGCTCCTTTAGCAGACGACAACACATTTTAACCTGCAAAGTTTCCTCTACCCAAATTTTGGAGACCATAAGGGGAGTCTGCAGAGCTTTTCATGTATAGTAAGCCCTGTCCAGCAGTGTGACAGGGATTGTTACAAGAGGGCTGTTTACTCTGTAAAGTGGTTGTTGATGTTTGTGTTTCTCCTTGCAGACAACTATGGATTTAACAAAATTGCCGTGCCTGGCAGCAATTGGCACCCTTTCTCAGCAACAGTTTGCATCTAGTAACTGGCACCCTTCCTCTGCAAAGAAGCCAACAAGTAAATGATGGTGAAAACTGAACTGTTTATATACTACCTCCACATAAGTGGAGAAGCAAGCAGATTGCAGAGCTGCTGAAAGACGGTGAGCTTGCATTACTGCCTTGGTGGCACTTGTTTCGTGTGTAAAGTAAACAGGAGACTGCAGAGCTGTCGGGCTGACAACTCTCAGATATGCTGAATTCAGTCTTTCTGAAAAGCCTTGAAAAATCTGAGCTGAAATGGGAGAGAAATAAATAACCACAAACTGGAGAAACGAATCGTTGGTTCTTATTACCAGAACAGATCATTTATGATCATGGTTCTTCTCTTTCACAAATAAATGTAAATCCTTGTAGCACCAACAAAATCAGTGCATTTATCTTTCTGCACGAAGAAAGATCACCAAATTGATCAGGAAAATTCCCTTACTACCATAATATGAGAAGGGGATGATTAGTATCACTTGTTCTGCTAGGAATGAAAGAAGGCTGGAGTGCAGCTGTCAATTTTAAATGTGCTCATTTAAGAATCTCTCTAACCTGCTTTGAATAATTGCTTCCGTAATACAGAGTTGCCACTACTCAGTTTAATGGGAAATCACAGGAAAACCTGGAGCAATACCACATCACAGCACTAGGATTATAGCTAAGACACAAAAGGACTTGTGCTACACTGTGTTCATTTGCAAGAGCATTTTATTGGCAGACTACAACATTTGCAATACCAATGTAAAGTGTGTCAAGTCTTACCTTAAGGCTGACAC